GTGTGTGTGTGTGTGTGTCAGAGTCCTAATGTATGCACGGATGATTTTCTGTGTGTGTGTGTGTGTGAGAAAGAGAGTGTGAGTGCGAGTGAAGTCCTCTTCCAGTAAATGTGCTGCTGAGGCTGACAAGGCGTTTCCTGGAAGTGCTGACACTCGATGGCAACTATCTCTTAAGATGTATGTGTGTGTGTACGTGATGTAAGTGTCTGAACACCTGTACACATCTATATATTTTTTATACATTAAAATATCATCACAGTTGGATTAACAGCTAGTGTTCTGTGTTTTGCTGCAGTAGTAACAAGAGGAAAGTTCATAAGTTTACATTTTCCCAGATTTCCCAGGGGATAGTCTCAGACTATTTGTAGAGATGGACGTCATGACTGCTCCCTAAAGTGAAGCCAAATTGTCTCCAACGCCCCCTGGTGGTGCAGTTTCTTATCAGTGGATGTAGCGTCCAACTCTGGCTCAGATTCAGGTTTGAGATTTAAATGACAAGTATTAATGTGGGTCATAGAAGCTGAACAGACACGGGTCACTGTGGTGAGGAGCTGAGGAAACGAGCAGTGGAGGAGAAGAGGGTGAGATGGAGAGAAGGAAAACATAAGATCAAATACACAGAGAGAGAGTGAGCGTAGAAAGATTAAAACGTTAGAAAAAAATATTCATGAAGTTTAAAAAAAATTATAAATAAAAGATGAAAACCAGGAGAAGAAAAATGAGGAAGTTGTCAACTGGAGAAAAGATGAGTGTGTGTGTGTGTGTGTGTGTGTGTGTGTGTGTGGTTGTGTTGTGTTGTGTTGTGTTGTGTGTGTGTGTGTGTGGGTGTGTGTGTGCGTGCGTGCATTTAGATCAACAAACAACAAAGTGACCATCACTTCCCTCAAATTAGTGACTGTGTGTATGAATGCTGTGAGCACACACACCCTTTTTAAGATTGGGTGCTATTTTGTGTGTGTGTGTGTGTGTTTGTGACAGAGATCAAACACAATAAACAGTTGTGTGTGTGTGTGTGTACAGAGATTTTAGTTTTCCTGTTACCTTCTCTGTCAATGTGTGCAAAGGTGTGTGTGTGTTTGCTGTATCACTTCCTCGTGTGACTCACCTGATGACATCACACGGTGACGTCACGTCTATGGGAGGCAGCGTTGGTTAAAGGTCAGACGGAGCCGGACGCTCTCAGTCACGCTTCTTTGATTTCACCTCTCAGCAGATCCTCAGTGTTTATTTGGAGAGTTTTCTTTGTGTTGTGGATCCACTTGAAGTTGTTAACATGTTAGTTTGCCTCTGTTAAGGTAAGACGTCATCAGTTCTAGGTTTTTAATATAAAGGCTAAATCTATGAGGGAAAGCTTTGTATTTAACTTTGATTTATGGTTATTAGTCCATTTAAGGACTTATTTTATTTTGTTAAACTTTCTAAAATAGCATCTTATAAATATGTTTTTAAAACCCTGTCAGGGAAGCACTGGTTACATTTTGGTGCAGCTCCAGGATTTGTTTTCTCTTTCTTAAACATTGTGAGATAGAGCGCTTTTCAACATTTTCACTTTTTTCCCAAGGGAATATATCAAAACGAAGTGGCCTGATACCTGATTCAGAATTTAAAGGGACACTGATTTCACACGTGCACATCAGTGTAAAACAGCTGAGTGATCCCTCTGTAGCTCTGGAGGATCTTTGTCAAGTGTAGAGAATAACCCTGAGGATGTTGTCAGACTTTATCTCAGCTTAAATCTAAAGAAAGCTGTTGCTTTGGAAAACTGTCGGATCCTTTGCTTATGGAGCTCGACACATGCAGAGACTAGAGGCATTTTCAAAACTATAGCGTGTTTGCATTGATGTATATAAATGAGACAAATATCACGAAGCATCACTTCTGTTACCGACTGTTGAATTCATGCATCAGTGTCCCAGCACGCAAATCCATTTAGCACAAACAGAGCACGCCCTGTATCTGGGTCAGATCACGTTCCCACCGCAGACAAACTGCTCCAGAGTTTGTTTGTGGCCAGGCAGAAAGTTTCTCTTTTCCTTTTCACAGCTTCATGTCTTTGTCACCACACACACACACACACACACACACACACACACACACACACACACTAAGCCAAACACCACAGCTGAGTCAGCATAGTGTTTGTAGATCAAACAGATGAGTGAGCAAATGGAAACTTTGTCTTTCTTTCTTTCTTTCTTTTTATCATTTCACAAATATGTGATGTCTTTATTTTTAGGGTTTTACCTGGGAATTCATCTTTGCATGCTAACAAACCAAAATGTTTCTCGCTCTAGATCGTCTCCAGCCAAATGAATCAATGAGTGATCAGTGAATTGATTTTATCTTTGTAAATCGAGCTTTGTAGATTTTTATTTTACCACTGATGGTGCAAATTCAATCATTTCAAGAGTAAAAATGAGATTTATAAATACAGACCGTTTACCATCATTTAGTTATTATCGTAAGTACCGTGATGCTGAGGTCTCGTCTGTGATTGGTTGATTTTCTTGCCACTCAACCTGCCTTCCCTGTGATCGGTGTGTTTGGACAGGAGCGGTCGGCTGCAGCTGAGCTGAAGATGTCCGATAATGGGGAGGTCGAGGACAAGCCCCCAGCTCCGCCCATGAGGAACACCAGCACCATGATTGGCTCCTGCAACAAGGACCCCGCCCCCCTCAACCACAGCTCCAAGCCCCTCCCTCCCAACCCGGAAGACAAGAAGAAGAAAGATCGCTCGATCCGATTCATCCTGACCGGAGGAGGCGATAAGAGTGAGTACTGAGAAGTGGAGCCCCCTGGTGGCTGGCTGCACTGTAGGTCCTAAACCCCGCCTCCTCACCTGTAAGCAGATGGGACATGGGTTCTATAAATTATTCTCGAAGATGGTTTCTATCATCGCTGGTAGTTTGTATCACACGTCTGTTCACGTCTTTAAGTTCCTGATAAGTTTGGTTTTAATTTGATTCAAATTTTATTTGATGAAGTAAAAAATGAGGTGAGACGTCTTGATTGACAGCTGAGAGTGAATTGCGATCGGTCGAGCACCTGTATTGGTGAGACCTCGGCTCCATCCTCTGATCACCAGCTTAGATGTATAATGACGCCATCGGCTCAAATATGCAGCGTCCGTGTTTGAGCTATTTTGGGTTCGTTTCTGGACAGTGAGGACGTGGAGACATGTCGTCTTTTTCTGTCCTTGAACGAAGCATGAATTAGTTTTTTTATGAGCGTCACTGTCCGACTTGAATATACAACTACAATATTTATTTATTTTTACCTCATTTCATCCGGCACAAGCTCTGCTCCGCGGACACACCCGTCCTGCACAGTTATAATTTCACTGTGTCCTACTTTTCTTGGAGTTAATTACGCAGCTGTTAGATGCTGAGCGGAGGCATCCTTTGTACGGCGGCTGGTTTAGAACATCTCAAACTCGACTGTCTTATCTCAGCTTTTCATCATCTTTGTTATTATTAACTCAGAATTAACACGTCTGTATTAACAGGGCTCCAGCATCTCCTCTATTGGTGGGGTTGAACGGTATTTTCCTAAACTGACTTCAGAGAATATACGAGTAGATACAGTGATTTTTGCAGCAGAGCGTCTGATACCAGCTTTGACACAATAAGGCCAGACGGATGTAAACTCTGCGACGCTGCTCTAATACACAGAGGGAGGCTTTAAAATAGAAACAGACACAGAGGAGGTTTAAGATTCGCTGATCGAGCTCTGGATGATTTCTCAGCTGCTGGTTTGATTTAAATAAAACTTTTAGTGCTTTTCTAAAGAATGAAAGTTTGTAAGTGGCAGTAATTCTACTGATGGTAAACAGCAAGTGCACTTTAACACAAAAATAATAAAATGAAACAGAACAGCAACAGATTCATCTGTTTACAGAGAAATCTAACAAAGAACTCAAAGCACACGGCGCAAGAAGTTTCCCCACAAACCTGATTTATTTCAAAAATGATCCACTGATAGAAATGTTCAATCTGATCTTTAGCTTGTTTACTGTGGAGACACAATTTGAATTTATTGCCAAAAATATTGAGCGATTATTGAAAAAAAAAAAAAAGTACTGATGCCTATTTATATATATATGCTAACATTCACTTTATATTCATGAATGAACATTTAACATGTTGAATGAACGTTAAGCGACAGCGTCATCGCTGCTTCGACTGACGGCAACACACACACACACACACACA